CATGACCTGAGCCGAAGGCAGTCGCTTAACCGACTGAGCCACCCAAGCGCCCTAAAACTAAATATTCCTATACACAAAGTCTTAAAAACCAAAGTTCTACTAGAAAGAAAGCTATAATTTGGAAACTTGTTCTAGTGGAGAACAACTTTAGCTAACCAAATAGTATTACTGTTCTCTACTCAGCCACCTCACACACTAACTACTGAAAGCTTAGATGTAGGTATGAAACTAAACTCGGTATATCTCTTTAAAACTAAGCAGTAAACAGTATAATTGGTACTAATTGCTTTTTGGGCCTTATAAAGTACTAATGACAGACAGGCAGTGTAGTATAACAGTTAAGCATGCAGACTCAGATGCCATACTGACTGGCCCCATATTCTGGCTCTACTTACCAGCTGTGTAATCTTGGGCAAGTTTACCTAAGCACTATAGGTCTTCAGCTTCCTCATCCATAAAATGAGGGTAATCACAAAAACAACCCCATGGGGTAACTGTGAGCATTAAATGTGTTAATAGAAATAGCTTTCAACAGTACCTAGGACATAGTAGCACTTGATCCTACTACCACTCCCATGAGAACAGAGCAGCTAAGGAAGCCAGGCACTGTGACCAATTTACCTCTGGATCCCGAGAACCTATCACAAGGCCCTAGCAAAGCTGGCACCTAATGAAGGTTTAAAAACTTACACCAACTTTAGTTTTTCTCTCTACCCTATAAATATGGAATAGACAGTTTGAACACAACCTTCTTTTTCTTGGCTATACAAGCAATACATATTGATTATAGAAAATGTGTGATGTAAAGCATGAGGAAATAACTAAAAATTACCTAATGCCAGCACCTAGAGATAACCATTTGAGATATATTTTTCTCTGTAGATATGCACATATAGGCAAATGAACTTAAAATCTAAATAGAAGCAAACAGTATCCATGTTTTTTTTAAATCCAGTTTTCTTAGTGACCCAAGTACAAAATTTTCTGTTCTTATGAAAATTTGGTTAACAAAAGGCTAAAAATCTAGCTGAACATTCCATAAGGAATATATATATATATATGTATTTTACAGATACTATCCTGGATATAGGTGTATTTTGTTTGAATTATAGAAAAAGTTCATATGCAACAAGGGAATACAGAAAAGGAAAACCATTATTTAGTGTTAGGATGGTGGGATTATAGGCAATTTTTCTCTGTTATCATTTAAAAATTATTTGTGCAGGGGCACCTGGCTGGCTCAGTCAGTAGAGCATGTGACTCTTGATCTCAGAGTCGTGAGTTTGAGCCCCATGTTGGGTACAGAGATAAGTTAAAAAAAATTATTTGTGCAATATAATAAAGTCAAGGAAGAAAAAAGAACTAGCTAGTGAGGATCTTAAAAGTATTAAATGCTATGTATATAATATACGTGAAATTCTAAGCATTCTGGCATACCCAAATGTATCTTGATTGCTAAAAAAGATTGCAGTAACAGAAACAGCCAATGATCACTGTGTGCTTAATATATGCCAGGTACCACACAAAACTCTTTAAGTGCATAACCTTGCTTAAACCTCCTCATAAAATTCCTTAGTAGGTACTATTGTTATCTTCATTTTTCAAATGAGAAAAGGGAGGCCTGTTCAAGACACAGAATAGGTGGAGTTGGGCTTTGAATTAGACTATCCACCTCTAAAGACCATTCTGATCTTCTACCAGCTCTAGAGAACTGTCTGTCCAAAATTCATCTTCTCCAAAAAGTCAGCCAGACTATGTACAATGAAACTGGCAGCAAAATTTTAAATAATACTAATATTTAACCACATGAGGAAAAACCAAACAATGAGAAGGAAACAGGGGGCAAAGATGAAAAGCATTGGGGAAACAAGAAGGATAAGGACACAATTCACTAACATAGACTTTGAAAAATTTACATGTCCTCCTAGATGGAACCTGAGATCACAGATAACCCTTTATATAACTGCTCAAAGCTTTTAACTCCATGAAAGAAAAATCTCATTATCACACACAAACATCAAGATCTTTAAGAAGCCACACATCATTAGTTGATTAGTAGTTACTCTTATTTTTAAAAACCCTTGACTCCTGAGTCACATTAAAGTTCCCAAAGTTAACTGTATTTTTAATAATTAAACTATGAAAAAAAAATTAAACTATGATATAGAATAGGAAACAGATTGTTTTACCTTTAAATGTTTAAAAATTTTTGCTTTGCTTCAGATATGCTTAAAGCCAAAAAAAAAATTGGTAGCATCTAACTGAAGCAAAATATATAGTAAGCCTAATGAAAGCACAGACTATCATAGTAATAGGAGGGCCTCTCTCTGCTTTCTTTTTCATTCTCTCTTTTCTACTCACTGTTCTACTTTGCCTTAAACTTACTGCTTATCTTAACCTCCCACCCTCAGATCTTTGTCTTTACTTTTTAAGAATAAAAAATATTATGTTGGGTATAGAAACAAGCTTCTTGCCCCCCAAATAAAAAATGCTTACGTTTAATTAGTAATTACTACATAATGATAATCTGTGAAAAGCACAAGATTAAAATGTACTTATATTTAGATTTTAACATTTACATTTTATGAGTAATTCTTCCTTTTCAATTTTGTCCTCCTCTAAGTGATCTTTCCACTGCTTCAGGGGGAAAAAAAATACAGCCTTGGAAAATCCCTCCAAAACTCCCACCAAAATAGGCTACTAACTGTATCAACATCCTCCAGGTCCTAAAAGATCATGACACCGGCATTAACTTCACAGGGAATCACAGTTTAAGAAGTCCTATATTAAATGCAGATCAAAATACAGTTATCACTCACCAGTAACTTACATACCCTAAATATTTTGAAAAACAACTAATTATCCATCAAAATATAAATTGTAAAGTTAAATTTGGAAACAAAATAATCTGTACCTCATTATACATTATTATTTAATAGAATCGTAGCTAATGTGAAAAAGAATTAAAATGAAGTATATTATATTATAAAAGTACTGCATTAATTTTCTACCATTATTAGAATAATCCTGAAGTGTAACAGTATACCATCACCTAGAATATTATTAACCAAGGTAATTAATACAAAAAGTTCATAGCACTAAATTATACTCACTCTGAGCGGAGTCGGGCTTCCATACCATCTGGTAGAAAAAGTTTTATGGTGGAAACAATACACCCATGGGTAACTGGTTAAAACAAACAAATAAGATGGATTAAATAATTGTTTAAAAATACAAATCTTCATATCTCTCATATCCAACATATATTTTATTCCTAAATGCAATAACTTCCAGGAAAGAAATCTGGTGGTTTAATGACAATATTCACTCCCCTGGAGAAAGTCATCCCTCTTCATACTGAATCACAGTTGCAAGGCAAAATTACAGATAGTTTTTCAAAAGTGTCCTAACCTTCAATGCAATCCGTCAATAAAAGGTCAGTTGGATATATGGAAATACAATTGAGGAGAGGAAATGCACTTTCTCCCCTATCTGCTGGCATCAAAACCTAACTATTCCCCAATTTAATATTTAGCCCTAATTCCTAATTCTCCTGTCCACGCCTCACAAAACTCTAGTTCTGCATAATACAGCTTGGAATATGCAGTTCAAGTCCCCCATTTGATGAGTGAGAAAACCAAGACCTCAGAAAAGTGAAACTGCTTCTAGAACTCTGTTAAGTGTCAGAGCTGTTTGCTAGAACTCAAGTCTGAGATTTCCAGTTCAGTATTTAAAATTGTGGTTTTGTGTTCTTGGTGCTTTTTCTTCCTCCACCCTCAAACATTTTCACATAACATTACACCAATCACTTTGTAGACAACTTCTTACTATTGCTTCTTACTTCCTCCTTTTCCTTCTGATGATTTCAAGAGACAAAACCCCCCAAAAGGAGCGTTTATACAGAGCTTCTCTTTGTGATTGGGTTTTATGGGTTGATGGCTTTTTATTTCTCTGTTCTTCCAAGATTACATCTTCCAGGGCTAGGGTTCAAAGAGTTAATTTATTTAGTTTATCAAAATCTAATTAAAAGCTAATGCAGGGTGATGAAAATATACTATCTCATGATTAGAAGAGTGGTGGTTATGTGACTATACATTTGTCAAAACTCAGTGAGTTCTACATATAAAACTGGTGTTGCAAGTAAATTATATCTCAATAAAGCTGATTAAGAATAAGCTAATGCTGGGC